CACACACACCTTGATTCCCAACGCATGGGTCTCAACGACGTCGAGCTTTCGTGTCAACCTCGGCTTATTCTACGAGACAGCTCGTAATCCCCTTCACGCACGCGGCTCCTGCTGCTCTTACGAGGCGAGGCCTCACGCTCATCACCAAAAATAACAACAGGAACATTCCTGAGAAAGTCGATACGGCAATAGTCAACGCTTCCCGCCGACAACGGAATCGGGCACCGAACGAAACCAGACATACTCTGGTTCCTGCTGGGCTACAACAGAAGCAACAAGTGAATCATGCGTCAGCACAACTCCTCGACGTTGTAAAGAAACCGAAGACGCCATGCCCTCTTGCTGGTCTACAACGGCAGCAACAAGTGAATCCTGTGTCAGCACACCCTCCTCGACACACTGCAACGTCATTGGGAGGAGTGAGACGATCGACAACTGGGCTCGATACACTAGATACGGTGTGCCACTGACGAGAGGTAAATCCACGATCGTAGGGAGATTCGCCATCTCGGTCGCCTGGCTGGCGAAAAAACAGAACCGACGAAAACAGGCCCTGTAACGAATGAACCCCCTCGACCGCTTCCTTCACCAACCCGTTGATTTCAATGATCAACAGTTCCGAGCTTCCACCACGTCCTAAAGTCGTACCACAGAGCGCGTCCTGTAGACATAACCAGGAATCGATCGGGTACTATCGCAAGAATGTCGGGACACGCGCGCGCGCAAGCAGACACCTCATGCCACCTTCCTTCGGTCGTGGCCTTTTCTACGGCACACGGAGCAAGGCAACCATCGCCTGATCATGACGGCAACAACGGAGACGCCGGCTTCTCCATCAGGGGAAACGTTTCTCCACTGCGTTCATCTCAACACAAGCGCAACCAATCAATCGCTCCTTCAGCGTCGTGGACACGCAGCAACAGAGCTGACGCACGCTTCGTTCGACCTGCAACACCCACGGGACTGCTTGGGCTTTAGACGCCGTACCGACAACACGCATCACGGAATCGTTGACAGCGGAACATTTTTCACACGCACAGAAGAAAACAGTCAGACAACGGTGAGCCATCAACTTGGAGCGCTTCTCCCGGAGGGTGCTACCGCCCCGCGAGTCGCCTCTTGAGCCAAAATCCCATGCTACGTGCCTTCAACCGTTGGACTAAACCAAGCACAAAATACGACGCATCTAAACGCCCGATTCTGTCAGCGGGCGTGAAAGCAGGGGGAAGTACCAAAGGTCTCCGTTTGAGCCGCCGACTTCCCACCACCGTGAGAGTGTCGTACGCACGCCGACCCCTGGCAGCAAGGCATTAAAGTCGTGCCGAGGCCGCCACCGCCGCCGGGGTCAGTGATCTTCTCGCGGTTTCCCGTGTGCCCTCCGCCCGATCGCTGCCGGCTGGAAACGGAACCGTGCTGCTGGTGGTGGACGCGGCGGCGGTCGCCTCCTCTTCGCACCTCGCCCGCTCCGCCGTCAGCGCGTCGAAATACCGAGTGACTAACCTGTCCGCCCAGCTTTGCCTGTCATTTTCGTTGTTGACGATGTCGCCGCGGTGACGTATTTTGTCTGGGGTACATCGTTCATGCACGCTGGTCAAACAATGCTCATAGCAAAAAAAAAAAATCACGGCGAGAAAAAACGTTTCCATCCTCTCGTCTTTGTCACATTTCACTTCCAGACCCAGATGTATTGAAGACGCCGAACTTCGTGGAAAAAAAGTGCCCTTGAAAAAACCCTGCTGCGGCTCCTGGCCGCGACGATACGCGAAAAAAAAAAAAACGCACTCTTGGGAGCCCTCAACGATCGAGTTCACCAAGTTGCTTCTTGGAGGATGAACTGACGCAAACAAGGTGAGCTACAGCCCTAATGAAGCCCACTTTCGACACTACCCCAACAGAATTCGGCTGGACCTTTCGTGTCATGGGCACTCGCCTTCCCCAGGGGTTGAAACCCTCTCCGAAGCCGATGTGCCCGCCGGCCTTGGTGATGACGAAGATCACCCAAGGGTTCCGCCTTGCCTTCCAAAGGGAACAAGGCGGTCTGGCAGATAGGGTCATCCTCCGCGTTGATGCACAGGAGAGGGCACCGGACGTCCGCCAGGTAACGGCTGCTCGAGCCGTCCCTGTGGTAGTGCTGCGAGTTCCGGCAGTCATTGGGGAGGGAGAATAATTTGCTTGCCTTCGTGTTTAACCACGCCCCCTCTATAGGATGGAGCATTGTTCACGAAAGAGGGGGTTCAAAACACGGTATTAACTAGGTATGTGGTGACTGCTCGAACAATCTACTGTCATAGGGCACTCAAGCCCGGAAGTCGTTGTGGTAATGAGGGGGGG